AGTAATCTTATAAATTTCTAATCAGTTTGATAAACCGGTTAGAAATTATTTGATTCATTCTTTATCATCATGAATCACTATCTTCAAGTGCAAAAAGATTACGAAGATAATACAAATTTGATCGAGAAGTACACCACGTATCGCAACAGTCTCAATTCTATGAAAAGTGATAGATTTTCCGTGGATCAACCTATTCTAGAGGTTATTGCTGCATTAAATATAACTAAGAATTTGAAGGATGAAAATCGTCAAAAGCTTGATGTGTATAAAGCCAGCGAGCGTAATTTCAGTCTTACCATATTGGTTTCTGATTCGAAGAATATTTGGCTATCCCAACGTATCAATCCTCTTAAAGATCATCATCTTTTGTGGCAAGTAACTGGAGGGCGTGTGGAATTAAATGAATCATTTATTGATTGTGCCAAACGTGAAGCCGAAGAGGAGGCCGGGATTGTTATCGATGAACTTTTTTATATTACTACGGTTTCAGGCTTTCGCGCATTCCCTGATGGGAAGAAGTGTCTTTACAACTGTGCTATTTACTTTTCCTTTATCGGTGATCAGATTCCTAAGCGTGTCGAGCCTATGAATAATGGTGATTGGCAACCTTTTGATGTTGCTGAGTTTGCCAAGCTAACTAATCTTACACCATCTCTCTTTGAGAGACGTAAGGAGATTGCTGAGGCTATCAGTATTAAGTTCCGTTCCCGCGCCAGGACCATAATTGCTAAGAGAAAAAAAGAAATTGTCGCGGAGGAAAATATCGAAAATATTGAAAAGAAAAAAAAAGTAGATAGCGATAGCGTATCTGATAATTGAATCACTTAGATAGCGAGTAATTTTATTTTTTTATTATTATTATTATTATTATTATATTAACCATTCAGTCTATATTGACCGAATGGATTTTTAACTGTGTAATTTGCTTTTATAAAATTATTGCGGTAACTACAAATTCCACGACGCCCAGAATTAATTCCACGACGCCCAGAATTAATTCTGAATAATTTCACTGCGCCAACCATAATTAATCTATTTAGTTGCTTAAGATGTCATTATTTGAACATTGTATTTTATCACCTTTCGGAATTCATTGCGAGTTTTGTGATTGGAGCTATCCAAGTATTCTTAATAGGAAGGAACATTTTAAGCAACATCTTTTTCAAGATCATAGAGAAATATTTGCAAATCTTCTCAAGAAACATTTTCTCTTTGACTATAACCAAATCTATAGCAATTGGATTTCTAGGGAATATGATTATGGGATGGCCACCTTTTATTTTTTAAAGTATAGGCATTTGTTCATTCAATACAATATTCTTTTTTTCGATCTTGATCAGATCGATTCTCCATGCTCTTTTCAACGGTTTATTATAGCTATGCAATCTCTTCTTCGAGTAAAGATTGTACCTCCGATTTCTAGGGGAAAAGACCAGGATGTTAATGTTCTCACAAACATGTTAACTACTATTCTTACTATTTAATTTTATTTTTTTTATTAATATTATTATAAATAACTTTAATCTATTCAGTCTCATGTGACCGAATAGACTTTTATTCATGTAATTATCACCGCATATCAATTACTTATGGATAGAGATCTCATATATGATTACTTTGAGGTTCTTCCCAAGTATAAGCTTCGATGTCGTATCTGCTCTCAATGTTATCTGGCTATATTAACACGTGTAGACGATCTTCGACAGCATCTTCGTAAAGAGCATAAAGAAGCATTTGAAGAGCTGTCTTTGAAATACTTTTTGCGAGATTATGCATACCTTCATTATAATTGGGCAACGGGAAAACATGATTATGCGAGCGCAACGGAGTTTCTTACCAAATATGAACATCTTTTTTTATATTATGAAATTTTTTATTATAATCTTTCAAAAATTGATTCTTCTTGGTCGATTCAACGTTTGATGATGGCTGCCCATTTACTTCGTGTAAAACTTTATTCACCACCGTTGATGTCGGTTATTGAGGAGGAAATTTGCAATAATCAATAAAACTTGTATTGTTTAGTTTTTTTTAATATATATATTTATTAAATTTGAATATATTATCAACATGAATCTATTCAGTCATTATTGACCGAATAGATTTTTAGTTATACGCGAATGATTAATGATGTCAATTCCAGAAAAGGTAAGATGGCCGTGCTATTTCACTCAGTATTTGTGATTCTGAAGTTACGCTGTCATAGGGAGGTAGGAGCACGTTCTGAGCACTTTATGTCGAGGACATGTTCTATTATCTCCCGAGAAACCGACATAGAGATTGAAGTTATATCTTCGAAACGGCTATGCTGCAAACATTGATGAATAAGAATTTCGTACTGATTTTTTTACTATTTTAGCTCACGAATCACAAGATTGGCCACGATTTCGAATCAGTCGTACGCAAAATGTTGGAGATGAACGGAATATTAGCTAACGAGATAAAGGTTGTTCAAGGTGATAATGGGATCGATATCATCGCAACTTATAAAGAAAAACTGGTTTTAATTCAATGTAAGGATATGGCATCGCCAATAACAGTTCATACCGTTAGGGTTTTTGAATCTGCGGTTTCAAGATATCCTTCTAATAGTCTCGGTACTATTGTGTATAATGGTAAAAGAATGGAAAAGAATTATGCAACACCAAAAGCAATACGCTGGGCAACAACATCTGAAAAGAATGTTAAAATTTGTGAAAAAAATGAATTAGTTCAAACAGTTAAGGATTTTTTTAAGGATGATAGTGATGATGAAGATATTATGATGTTGGATGTTAAGGCGGATAAGTTTGATATGAGGGAGCTTACAGGCGAAAATGTCACTATTGGCAAGATAATTTCCAGGAAGAGAAAGAGGGCTTGAGCATTTTATTTTTATTTATTTTATTTTATTTTTATTTTACTTTTATTTTATTTTATTTTATTTTATTTATCATTGATTTATTCAGTCATAATTTGACCGAATAGATTTTTAGTTATACGCGAATAATTAATGATGACAACTTTGGAAAAGGTAAGATGGCCGTGCCTTTTACTTAGTGAATATAAGATTTTGAAGTTACGCTGTCTCAAATTGGAAGGAATTCATTCTGAGATATTTCTTTTCACGGGAAATGCG